AATTTCGCGAAAAAAACTGTCCATTTACAATGTTATAAAATATACAATATTGAATACAAAACGTGTACCATTTTAATCTTATCTCACGTGGACTAAATATAGGTACTGCGTAATATATTTTAAAAAACTAAATTTTTCTAAATTTTTCGAAGAAAATAAGTYCCATGCTTCGACAGCAATAAAAAATACATATAGGGACTTAACCTTTTGATCGTTATTAATGTTTACTGTGTATTCCGATTATTATAACACTCATGAAGTACAAAGTTTAAACTTTCAAATGTATAATAATATTATTACGCCGGAAAGTTCTGTGCTGCGAAAATTTGGTTATCGGCGGAATAATATTACTGCTCAAATACATTTTTGTTTTAAATTTTATCTGCCATTAAAGATTTTTGTACATAACATATATTTTTTTACATCCGGTTTTTAAAGAAATTCGGAAATCAGATAAAAATGATTTATAACGCCATTTATTGCTATCTATCACATTAACATTGTATCATACAGAATGTCCATAAAACAATTTTATTATAATACTACATTTTGAATACAGTCAGAAAAAAAATTAGAACACTTAGAATATTGGATAAAATGGAAACGATAATATCACAAAATCGTCTATTTTAAACCTTAAACTTCTTGTTTTCAATTTTRAAGTTTCTRGTGGTGTACTGGTGTACATAAACAGTAAATAATATGTTTTACCTAGACAATAATTGTCAGCCAATGGCTTAGATAACTTATCTTAATTTAAAAAAAAGTAAAAAACATTTTTTCAGATTAAATCTATTTTTTGTTTCAAATTTCAGACAAAAAACTAATGATAAACATGTATAAATGATTAATATTATACTGTTTATTCGTATATTTTATACAYAGAATAATTAATTTACGGTTTACTATGCTATACAATTTTTAAGTAGGTAAAAAATAATAAAATAAAAAAACTATAATAATAGCTTGCTTACTTTGCTCGGAGTTACATAATTATTTATTTACTATAGCTTATGGTTACGACAAAATAATTAAATAACGATTATTGGTTATTATATCTAATATTTCACTGAATATGTGTATCTTAAAGTTCAAATATTCAACTTTAATACGGATTTATGAATATTATTTTTATTACTAATATAATATACAACATTTAACGTTTTGTACACGATTTTAAACCATTTTGTATTTAATGAACTGAAAACAATTTATTTAAAGTATTCAAAAAGTTCAAACCATTAAAAAAAAAAAACTTTCAATATTATTTGTATGTATGAATTAACAAATAGATTTTAATTGCAATTACCGATTCACCAACTACCCCCCTTTTAGTCCTATTATTAATTGTTTTTGTGAATTAAAAAATAAATACAATATTCGACCTTTAGATTAAATAATCGTAATAGAATATTTTTTAAAACTAATTAAATAATGTACTAAATTACTAACTTATAATCACCCTGTATAAATTAAAAGTAAGCCTGTTTAACAATTCATTCAATATTCAACTTGCAATTAAAAAAAAATCATCTTTAGCAATCAGATTTTAATTTAAATAATACAAAAATAAAATTGATTTTATTTAATAATATTATGTACAAGATTATTTGATATTTTATAACCATAAGTAAATAGGTAATTTTTGCCTACAGAGAAATTTAAAAGGGATCCTATATAGAAAAAGTTGTCAAGGAATCATTGCGTCAACGATAAAAAAAGCTCCATTGCCAAAATACGGAGGGAAGCCACCGGAAATTCCTGGCATCCACCATGCTTAAAAAATTTTACATTAAATCATTAAATTTGAATTATTTTTTTTTTTTGTACACGCTTTGTATATTTCTATCATTAATATTGCGTTCTTATTAAATACTTCATACTATATAATTAATTTCTATTGCTGTGAGGCGTGGACCACAAAGGCCATCATAAATTGTGATATCATGAAAATACCTGACATATTATAATAACATATAATTATAAAAATATAAACCCACGGGATCCACATAATATTCTTACTCATAAGCACACACTTAATAATATATGTAATTTAATGGAGGTGTTTTGCTCGGTACAGTTGTTTAACAATCATTATGCAAAGACAAACATCCTTTGTATGGCTTTAAAGATAATATGAAACGTAAACGTAGCTGCTTTTGTTAAAATTATAACCTTAGACAAAACAAACTACCGTAATCAATTTTACACTAACATCCTAAACGTAATATTGCGTTCCACAAGRTACATACGAAAAATAATCAAAGATCCTTAGAAATATTTATATTTTGAATAACACTTTTTTTACTTTCATTCCACGCTTATGACAACTAAAATTACTATTAAGTGGATTCTGTAAATAAAAAAAAAGATTTCTTCACTTATAATATTATACTTCATTAAAATGAAATGTTATTTTTATATCTGATGTTATAACTTATAATGAAATAAATGCACATTTTAAAAATTAAAAAATGTTTCTCACAATTAATTAATTTCCTTATTAAGCAGTTAAGGGACAGTTCATATTATAATACTATACTATAACATATTTTATATAATATAACAGCTATGCTATATCTACATACTTACAGTAGTTTAGCAATTATTATTTTGCTATAAATTTAAAGATTTATCATAACATCATCKCCGTCATACAAAAACTATCATAAAAATATCTGAAACCGCAAAATGATAARTACAATAACGGATGTGTCTTATATTATATGACTTAAGCGCCATATTTCACTAAAGTTAAATTCTAGGAGTGTTAAATTATTTACGATGGATATAACAGAGAAAGTGTAAGTAATTGCTTGCGTAAACTGTCAGTATTTTATAGAATTTCTTTCGCAGTCTAGGCCATCAAATGAGGTTCGTAAGTGTTCCCGGTGTTATATTTTTCTACGATTTAAGGTGAATAATGAGGTAATTAATTTTTTTTTTCATTTGATGGGCTACAAATTCCGTTACATGCTATAAAAAAAAAGCTCCGAATAAATGATTTAAAAATAATGATAATGAACAATTTTTCAAGTATAAAACAACTATAGAACTATTCAACATATTATTGCTTGTAATAACATTCGATCAAATATGTGTATAGGTTTCTATATTTTTACCTGTACAAGCGCAAATAAAAATAGTGTCCTAAATGATATATAAACACGATAATTTTTTTTTGTAAACACGTTAAAAGGCATTTTTATATATAAATTCAAATGCAAAAACAATAACACTGCAGATAGTGTTATACATTGAAAACGCRATTGTTCTATAAAAATGTATTTAACACACTTATATAGTATGTGGAGTATACGCTGAAACCACAATTATTGTTTATCGTGAGATCTAATCATTGCAGACTTTCGTGCTAAAAAGAAGGAGACTTTTGATTTACAAGGCATCGAGAAGGGTGCAGGGCAATCCCTCAGAGACCGAGTGCCCCGACAAGTGAAATCATTAACGTACGAAAAAGGTTGACTTTGTTGATTGACGATAATCAAAATTCCAGATGTATATTTTTACGAGACAAGAATAAAAATAAAAATGATTCACATACATACTACCATGCTTAAGCCGAACGTCAGATGTTTCAAAGAATATAAATATTGTATAATAATATATGAAACTATAGAACAGCACCACAAAAACAAAAAAACAAAAATCAATATATAATTAAGAATAAAGTAACATATGACTAATTAGTACATTTTATTTTAATACCAGGGTAATACTATAGAGTAGTAACTATAAGTAACCTAAAAACCACTCACTATTTTTAGAAAATATTTATAATATTAAAATAATTATGCGGGGGATGAATGTTGTTATTACACAAAATAGTTATTCGTAATTGAGTACTAACTATAATTCAGAGATATTTAATGAACATTCTTTACCTATATATATAAAAAAAAATTGTATTAGTTTTTTTTAAGCTTAAAAAAAAGTTTCGAGCTCCACGTGTCTAACCCGAACGAAGTTCGATCAATCAGTCTCCAGGAAAAATTCTAAAGGGTTTCATAAAAAAAAAAAAACGTTTGAAAAAACAATTATTTAAAAACTTGAAACTTATTCAATATACTCTTTCATCTTACTAGGTACATGCACCTATACTTGCGATCCATTTTAAAGTTTCGATTCATTTGAACATGACATTTTTGTCGTTAGACATAATAGATARTCAATTTTTAATTTTTGATAAGTTAATGTACAACATTGTATGTAGGGTTTTTAAAAATTCATTCAGTATAATTACTACAGCCGTGTTTAAAATGTTGGCGCATCTCTTTTAAGGGCAGCGTTAAACAAAATATGCATACAAATTTTAATTAATAATAAGTATAAGACCTTACTCGTTTTTTTTATACATTTTATACATGATTGTGTTAYCATTATGCGTGTAAATCGTTTACTATTTYATACTATCATACTATATCCAATAACAATATGATAAATAATATTCTTAGGTAATGATTTTCTCCTACAAATCGACAATTATACGTCATTAATTCATTATATAGGTAGTCATTGAAGGTAGTTATAGCTAAATAAAAAGTCAAATAAAATTAATGCACCAACATCAAAGTTCAACCAGTGGCCAGATGATTATTCACTAGTATACTGTGATTCATCCTCCCCATTCAAAAAAGACAAAAATATTCCACACAGCAATTCTTAAAGAGAGCTTATATATTAAAATATATAGTGACTATTTACTTGGAAAAAGATATGACACCCGTACTTTGTTAACTATAAGTTAAATATATTAATTTTACTTACTTGCTTTCGTTTCATAAAATTATTGTATAGGTTAAAAACTTATAAAATRTATATAAGGTACTATACACATAGTTTTTCTATATTTTGTGAATTCTGCACGACTATAATATCTCGGCAGGTAGGAGAACGACTCGCACCGTGGAGTTATTTCTTGGCGCTCCGGATACGTAAGACATTATAATAAGCACGTTGTTATTAAAAACAGTTCTCTTCGGGTTTTCAATTATATTGATCGTGTTAATTTATTATGACGATATGACATCGGGTTGTATACAAGTAAGCATTTTATCGTTATTTCCGTGTCGTTAAATCGTACGGATCGGTATGTGTTGCGAATATAAACGATTTTTCTTCAGTCTGATAGGCGTTCAAATATCTGACACATGATTAGAATAGAAACTAAGCGGATTTTGCCATTTTTCAATTTACTTATGGTAATTTTGAATTCAAGTGGAACGAAAACACGTCACCGTTAATAACGTATAGTGTACAGTAAATAAACTACCGGTGCAGTCTTCTGAAATAAAAAGCGAGTTTATAATATTTAATAAACAATTACGAGATGTTATATTTGTAGCCACGTAGGTAAGTTTACCTAAAAAGTAATGAATATTTTTACTATAACGTGGTCTTTATACTTTCCTGCCATATCTCCCTCCGTGTCGTCCCTCAAACATGCCACTGATCTCGTTTATACCATCGKCATACACCCACTAAAAAATACATATTAAGTAAAATTAGACATGAATATTCAAATAAGAAAATAATCTATACGTATGATTGTATTTTTAAAATCGATCAYCAAACCCTATAAATACTTAAACAGATAATAATACTAATATATATTGTATAATAATATTACCAATGTAAAAAAAACTTCAGATATGGGAACCAAAGCATTTATATTTTATAATTAACTAGCGTMTTATATTATTAAATTGACAATTTCAAGATATCTTTTAGCTCAAAAACAGATTTTATGATTTTACTTTAATTACCATTCATTTTGTATTATTTTCTATTAGTAAAATATACAAAAAGGGTTTGTTCTCAAAAATATAATTATACTATACAATAATCAAAAACCCGGTTTTTACTGTGAAGTCGCAGAACGAMAATATACTTCAATGTTTAATAACCATATTTTGTTGAATATTTATAAATTGCGACATTCCAGATCGTAGAATAAATTAAGTATACATTTATAATCATAAGACCATATTATATAAGTACTTGAAGGCTTTATTCTTAAAATAGCAATATTAGTTTATTTAAATTCCATTATTATATTGTATATTTATGAACATTTCGAATTATAATAAAAACAATCAACGTTGTTTTATTCTTTTGGAAATAATATGCATACTAATAAAGTTCATATTTTGCAACTGATTAGATCTGTTTTATTTTTAACCTATATTTTATTCATATATTATACTCCTGAGTCCTGATTATTGTTATTGTAACAAAATGGTTGTTGCCTAACTTTAACAACGTTCTTTAATCTATAATCTTTTGAACAAATATAAAAAGTGATTTGATTTGATTTATATATTTTTAAAATTATTTTACAATGCTATTAGCATATTATTTAGAAGGAATAGATACGGTAGGTCGTAATTTTTTGGATATTTCATTTTTAATAATGTATAGAATTAGACTGTTCTTGATGACCAATATAAAAATTATTTAACTCTGATAAATTCATAAAACAAAAAATGGTAAACTATTGATGGTGAATCCATATAATAAATAATCGAAAAAAAAAACGTTTTTCTTTAACGATTTACCTAGTAAGTAATAAATTTAAAACTCTATAAAATATTGACAAGATTAATTTTCATTAATGTTCTGAAATATATAAATCGTCATTAAAAAAAAGTTTTAATAAATATGCGTTTTCTTGCTTATAATTAAGAAGTTAAATATACATTAATCATACTTAAGTCTCATTCCATAAACTTTTAACAAATATTATATGTAACGAAATTAAAATTATTAAAATACTGAATCTCTACAATTTCGAATTTTGAGGGCCATGATTTTTCAAAAAAATTATAGTACAAACAAATAAATTCTAACATTTAACAAAACAATGTTTTTAGTTTAAGGTTTACGATGAATATTTTATCATTTTATCATTCTTATGTAATTTTTATTATAATTATTATTAATTTGTTTATACATTTAAGGTTAAATAAATCTTTACTGTATCCGTCAATACTATTACTGTAATTATTTCATTGATAAATAATGTTCGTATTAGAATATATTAACCTATACTGTCTTTATTTTAACAGAAAATGTAAATTAAATATACAAATAGTTTAATTTATTAAATAATAAATCAATGTTAAATTTAAAAAGTACTATTTAATCGTCATAAACACTAATAAAGTACCCGGTGTATCTAAAATACAGTACTTTATTTTCTTATCACTTTCAGCTATTTAAGCCATTACAAATGCTCTATACTTAAAATTTAGTACATGCCAATAATTTATCATTATCTGTTCATCTTAATTTTGATTTATAGTTCATATCTGGGAGAATAGATTCTTCTAGATAAACTATTGATACCTTTCCCGTCTTTGAGTTGGAAAAGAGTTGATGTGTTTATATATTGCTTAGCCTAAATATTGACCAAATTAAGCAAAATCCACTTAGACAATGTTTGGCTAATAAATTTGAAACTTTCCTAAAGTATTTTATTACATCCATAACTAATAAGCACCCACATGACAACGATTACATAATATTTCAGTGTCTTTCTTTAAAATTAAAACAATTTATATAATACCGGATAAATATAATATTTATTCACTAACAATTGAATTTAAAATCATAAGATTCGTACTAAATTATTAAAAAATAGTAATTAAGAAATTTCAGATACTTTATTGTAAAAAAATACAGTCATTATTTTGTCTCATAATGATACTTAAATGACAAATTACAAAATTATTTTTCGTAACATTACTTGTAAAATCCGTAAAGTATTAAATATTGTGATTTGATTTTCAGATAAAATATATTTATATATTACATGGCTTTGTTTTATAATATTTTGAATCTCATTACAAGTTCATAGGAATATTCAACCATAGCATAGTCTTATTCATAGACTTTTAAATTTATTGATTTTTTTTTTCTTATTAAATTGACAATTATTTATTGCCTATGTTTACACTGTAAATAAAAACCGCAACGAGTGAAATGTTATATTTAATTTTTATTTAGGTATAATTTTACATTTGATATTACCTATCAGATTTTTTTGATTTTTTATCATAACAATTATATGATATTATAATATATCAACGATAATTATAATTTACAAGATTACAAATTGTATGAATTGTTGATTATTTATTATGTATTGATGTTTAAGTTGCAATAAAAAGACAATTAATTTTATATAACATAAAATATATTAATACTTCGTGTTCACTAATTACTTTATAAATGTATAAAACCCATTTAAAAAAAAAAAAAAAAGTAACTGTTTGAATATAAATGTTACATAATACATTAAAAGTTCAGAGAAATTATAAATATTTAATAAGCTTATGAAATAATTCTATACACTCGACTGTCATTGTAGACATATTATTTAAAAAAAGTTATTATATATTTTAAAAAAAAAGTGAAAAATACTAAGATATATCCTAAATAGAATTATAAATAGGTTACAACTAAATAATCATATTTTACGCAATGAAATATATTATATTGTATTAAATTATAATTTCTGCATTACTGTATTACAATACTGATRAAAAATTAGTTTTTTATTTCATACTATTTCATTCTCAAAAATGATATTATATATTCATAATTTTACCAACTTTATGCTAGTTTATATTAATTTGTCCTTCGAACTCTTAAAAGTATCAATATCATGCAAAGATCTGCCTTCCAAAATGAATTTAAAAAAAAAATTATCGTATTTATATTCACCATAAATATTAAATTTGCAACATGTGAAAATGTTTCGGATCAAGTTTAATAACATAACTTTATGATTAGTACGAATAACATAAAAATAAATAAATTGAATATGTGACGTAAGCATCAAAAAATTATGATAATGTTAACGAAAAAGCCGAAAACTCTATATTATAATATCAATAAATATTGGTTATACATTTTTGCACTATTATTTAATACTAGTTGATACAATTATTTTATTTCCAAAAGTATTGAAAAGAGTAAAAAATTTTGATTCAACCTGGTGAAAATTCTCTTGATCATATTTTTTCCGGATCTGCGATTACCTATTCATCCTTGATTGAAAGCATTGTTGTTCAATAACCAATCTTCTTCTTTATTTTATGATAACATATATACATATGTACTGGTATTTTCATTTAATTTCATTGCTGTTTATTTAAAGATACTTATTTATGCATAAAAGTTCTAATATTTACTAATTTTATATACCTACACGGTCACTATATATATATACATACATCATAGTACTAGGAAGGTATTTTTAATTAATATTTCAAATTAATATTCAAAATATTTTTGTTAAATTTGTTACATTAACAATAAAAACGTGTTATAGGTAGATGTTTTTATAAACTACATTCAACTGTTTGTTAAAAAAAAAAAAATTCTAATCGAATTACATGTATTTATATTTGTTTTAATAACAAAATGATTAGAGACCAGTTGCAGTCGAATTGTTAACACTTATATTGGTTTTAGGTACAATTATCTATTAATTTAAAAAATATATAAGATAATATAACTTTTAAACAACATTAAATATGCGTTTAAAAATGTATTCTAGGTTAGGTATATCTAAATAAATACATAACATGTTTTTAGTTGTCCACCTGAAAATAAATATGTTAAGGGATTACTTCAACTCATATTTTGTAGGTAGGGAATTTTATGAAAAAAAGCCAAATAAAATTGAATAGTGGATGGTACTTATACGTTAAGTAGGGCATTGTTTTGGGAATGCCACTCCAATAAACATTATAATTTTACCAAATTGAAATAATAACGATCATCATAATCTATACCTAAATAATAAACAAGGAAAATTCATTGTTTTCCTCTTTTAAGATACATTTAAACCAAACGTTTAATACTTTTTTTGAAGTAAATAATTAATATTTTAATATTTAATGGAACTATTTATAAATAGGTATATTTTTAAATTGTATTGCATAACAATTATAATTTTCAAAAGAATGATAAGGATAATCTATATATATAACCTCAACTAATTTTTCATACAACTTTTTTTATGCCATGTTGCTTAAAAAGTGTTTTATACCTCAATATTAATATTCATAATACATTAATATTATTTTTTTAAATATTTTTTTCATTAAATACAACTTTAATACTAGTGTAACTTTTTGTCACACTTGAAGAAATAGAACAAAAAGTAAACAGAGAAAATAATTTTCACTGGATAAAATAATATGGATTTCTCTTTTTTTCCTTTCCTTTTGAAGGACGGAAGTTACTCGCAGTAATTATGTTGGGAAAAGATATCTGACACAAAAGAAAATCATTTGTATATTTTTCATAAATAGTTAGATATATCTATTTTGTGAGCTATACTAAACAGTATATTTGAATGTTCAAGATATTTTCCGACAAATAATATGGTGTGGTTTAAAATTTCAAAAATATTTTAAAATTAATTTGAACACCATAATTTGTTTATTTCAACTCAATTAAAAACAATTATTAAAATACACACTAATTTTAATACACCGTGTTTTCCGTATTGCAAAATAAATATCGATAAAATAATATAAATAATAGGTTAATTAAATTGTAAGGATTTGTAGTTAATAAATATCGTTATTTTAATAATTCACTAATTATACATAATACCAAGCAAAAAATACAGATTTGATATTCAATAAAAATATAAAACCAAATATAGTAAATATGATTATTAATAGGGGCTTAAAACCAAATAAATAAGGACAGTCTTATTATGAATAGATAAGTACTATATTGAAGCATCAGCATAATATATAATATATATAGACGTTACCGGGAACTTAATCTTAAATGAACCTACTCTGTGCACGAAAACATAAAACCTAATTTGTATTATACATTTTACTTAGCTGCACTTTAAAATATGTATTTTTTAAATAATTTACCGTGATTTTTATGCAACCGACCATAATTTTCACTTCTTCAATTTGAATCTCAAAAATTAAAGGTATAGTGGAGTACTTACTTATTATACTATATAATATAAGTGAGTTGAATTTCATTCCAAGTTAATTAGATAGGTTTTAAAATACAACATTATTAGTTCACTTTACCCGGTATAAGTTATATGCATTCAGGTTAAAATGAATTCTACATATATATATTAATATATATATTTACAATTAAAATAAATGATTTAAAATATTATCTACACTTTTATAGAAATAGGTATTATAATGAAATTAGATATCATTATTTATGAAATGCACGATATAAATGTATACATTTAGCTTTATTAATCAAAAAATATAAAACAATGGAAGATTGGTTGCAGTAAGGCAGTTAATAAAAATAATCCGAATAATTGGGGTATTTAATAAATTATTTATTTTGAGTATTTTAATATATATTTAGGTGGTATTACATGTACATATTTATAAGATACTATTTTAGATTCTTCCCAATTTTCTAATGAAAATCATAAACTTTCAGATACTATGACTATGCAAGTACATGAATAAAGTAAAAAGGAGAATGTTAATACCTAAAACCGTAAACTAATTTAACATTACTATCATATTCACTACCTACCTGTTTTAGATGAATGTATGGTCAATCAAGAGGGTCTGGAAACATTAATGCGAACCTTTTCTATACGATAGTACCAACTATAAACCCTAAAATATAATTTGTCCCCGTTACACTTAAGACTCATTTTGACGTCAAGGAAATTCATCTCGATAACGCCATTACACCACTAACACGTTTCTGTCGATTTGTCCAATCACTTTGACAATCAACCTACTGGCAAAAAAACAAATTTCGTTTAAAAATAAAATGTTTTCTATGCTTTACAATCTTATCTGCAAACGTATTACGTCCGACAAAACGATTTTAATGAGATAAATAGTAAATAATAATAATTAGATATCTGTGATTTTCTATTAGGTATGTCTCATCAAAAATAATCACGAACCTTACACAAGGTACCCCGTGTAACGGGTAGGGGTGTATCTAGAAGTTTTGAAAAATATTTTTAGTGAAACTATTATGAAGGATGCTAGATAAGCGGATAAGCCTTCCCTAATATGTAACAAATTATCAACCCCTCCCCCCCCCGGAGTAAAATCTGAATCCTGGCTATGCCACTGGTCGTAAACAAGTTTTTATTCGTGTCATTTATTTTCTATTTTATTTTTTGGCGTTTTCAGGAGCAAAGTGGCCGCTGCGTTACTTAACAAGCATTTACAGATCAACGGCATAAGCGCACTTGGAGCGCTGTCGACTTCGGACGCTGTGAAAGACGTTGACGTAGAAACGGATCCGGACTCGGGAGCTTTTCAACCTGCGGCCTCAAGTAACAAAATGAAACGGGAGCGGAAAGCAGCCCGTACTTTGGGCATCATTATGTCCGCGTTCTTGGCGTGTTGGCTACCTTTTTTTACATGGTGAATTTTATAATTTGATATTATTTATTATGACATACATGATACATACGTGGGTACATTTTGTTTTCAAATTAAACAGTATCTTTTTGCTTTGTTCCGGGTTTTTTTGTTAAAAATGATTTTATTTTATTTTTTCATTTGATAACGTCTAACTGGTATACTCGACGTATGATGCCGTACAACTTACGTGCTTTCGGTAACCATTGGATGCATCTGCGAGTTTTTTACCGCACTCAAAAAAATTATTTAATATTACAAGTCCGGACAGATGTTTCCAATATTGGTTATATATTTCACACTGCGGGAGACGACGATACACAGTTACGATGAAACAGTTTTCACTCATAAGCGCAACAACTAACAACAAAATTCATTGAACATCCGTAAAAAAAATTAATATATATACGTGCGTGCCACCCGATTGAAATTAATGAAAAAAGTTGGGTAGGTAAGGTATACCCTATATACGCTAATATAGTATCGATCATACTATATTTTCCATTATATAATGGGATTTTTTTATGACATAAATAATATTATTTACTAGATATCTTATAATTATTACGAGAAATATTTAAAACTTCAACAATATAATTTTATCAGTATTCAAACTTGGACATGTATGTACCTCCACTATATTATAATAGTTAAACGATAATGTAACGGAAAACTCTTATTTTTAAAACATAAAATTTCATCTCGATTAGTTCAGAACACTCGAAGCACTTTTTTATGCGAAAATTATTGAAATACAGCATTCGAGTTTCGGATCCCATGTTAAAAAATATTGTATACTTCACCACCTCTCTCACTGCAGCTACATTAAGTTGGCTACCCGACCCATGTCTCATCGCACCAAACGCCATCATACCTAACACGCCACTCCACATAATAATATGTGATATTATCTGCATATTAATTTCGTTAAACCCTAGACATCTCTTTTTTAAGTCTACCTCGTCAAAAATATTATAAACGTATATTTTAAGTACAAAAGCTTCAGAATTGTATTTTAATAAAGTTTTAACTGGTATACAAAATATATATATCATAGTATATAATGTAAATAGAGAGTAAAATATCCTTGTATAGTTAAGTATGCCAAGAAATCAATATGTATTTTCTTAACCACTGCAATATATTTATTAAATTATCCTTTGTTTATATTATTATATTTATTAGGTACATGTTGTATCAATACCTAATAAAATTATTAAATTTACGAAAACATTCATTCAGTACTTACCTAATAACTATTTAAGAGCCATCTGATATTCTCCTATGGTTTTTTAGAATTTAATCATTAATACCTGATCCCATTTCTCTAACCGTGGATGTTATAAACTGAAGCACTGATATATTATTATTTAATCCAGAAATCATTCTGAACAGAGATCAGTTCACAGCTAGGTGTTTCAATACGGTTGCTTATTTCACAGTTTTTTGCCATTTCTCTAAGACATAGAAATGTATGCAATTAACTTCTGTGCTGATAATACCCAACTACTTGTGGCTGATATCTAATTTATATTATCTTGTAAGTTTTTTATCACAAAAGTACAAAATAATTATTCATGAAAAAATGATTAAATATTGTAAAATCAATCGCTCTATTATTCGCAGCTTATTACGTCACACTACGTATACAGTTTATTTTAAAAATAAATAGTATCGATTATTCAAATTTTGTTTTTTAGTCACCTCTGCTGTTTACCTTTATCACTGCACATCACTGCAATAATAATTTCTGTGTTTAATGTTGATTCGTCGTTTCACTTCAATAAGCTTGGTATCGAATTTGTTTAGCATCAATGCGCGTACACTCGTTGTTGACAACTTGTTCTAGGCCAACGTCGGTAAAAATAAACGGAAAAAAAGATCAACCAATAAAATAGAAACACAGTTTTACAGTATCCTATTTACTCGCGCTAAATGCCATTTATAAACAAAACAAATAATGATGTTGATAAATATTTCCAAATGGATTTTTCATTTTTTGCAATGTTCATCTCTCAAAAGTAAGCCATTAAAAACTAAAATATATAAGATGCAAAAACAAAGTAAAATTAGTTGTGTTTTGTATTGTTATATAATATACAACATAGCTGTCTCTAAAATCTTATCGATCACAAATATAAACTTTACTAGTTAAAAGTTAAACAGCTGATTAGTAGTGTACCATTTATTTTATGTAACCTCTAGATAACACGCTTGACATTAACATTAATAACCTGACCCTTACGCAGCCGGTGCAGTTATCTATATTATTATGCCAGTCAGCCAAATGAAAAATTCAGTTCGACGGYAATATAATTTTTGTAAATGTCTTAACAAATACAGTGGATTTTAATTTAAAAAAAAATGCACGGTAAAATTAATAAAATTATTACCGGGAGTTCAAAACTAACTACATAATAATACACAGTAAATTATAATAATATATTATACTAAGCAACTAAGGTTATTCCTAGCTAACTTAGATATATAAATATATTTATATTATTTATAATGTAATTTTCGGTTTATCAGACATGTCAGTCTAATAAAAACTTAAAAATGTCATACAAAATCCCTCGTAAGTTGTTGTAGATGATGGCTATTTAAAAAAAAATAAGCTAAATGAGAGTTTGAATTTAAAATCTTCACAAAATCCCGAAAATTTGCAAATTATTTGTTAGAAATAGATTTAAAAATTCATAAAAAAATTTCTTTTTAAATTTTAAGTTGGCATATTGAATACAACATTCCTACTAAGTTTGTCTACCTTTATATTAAAAAAATATATCTACTGGAATGTTATATTAAATTTTTATGAGCGTTTGAAGCTTAAATTTTTACGAAATGTATAAAATTGAAAATTTACAAATTAGTTAGTACTTAAAAACTTATAAAACATTCAACTTTTATAGCTTAAAATTTAAAATTTAAAACGATATTCCATGTAAGCAGTAAATTCTATAACCAAAAAATATAAAATTATATTAACACAATTTTTCATACCAGTACAACATTTAAGCAGCCCTTCGAGATTTTCTCGAATGCTTGACTGGCCTATCCGGGCCTGTGCAGGATACTTATAATTTTTAAAGTACATAATTATATATAGATAAGATAATATGAAAATAATATTAATTCAACCTGCCAGCTACAGTAGTAATAATAGCAATATAAATATAATATAAAGTAACCTAGGCCGAAAAATCGTCTTCGCTCAGAATCGTTTTTCATATAGGTACATTTATATTATATCATTAGATTTAAATTTAAATTTAACACCATCCATTACAGTAGGTAGTACATATTTTATGAGTTATAAAAGTTTTAAAAGTTAATACCTCCGTACAGCAGAGCTTCGCCTAATTACTCGGTTTTTTTTTTCTTGATTTAAGTAGTACATAACAAATTTTCATACATATTTTATGACTAATAAATTTATATAACAGTAAAAAAAATATGAATCCCTTTTATTCAATAATTTATCGACATCTTTTGTATTAATGATTTATTCCCCCTCCCCATTAAATTATGTTATTGAAAAAATATTAAAAACATTTCAGTTTACTTTTCATTTATTGTAACGCAACGTTTTAAAATATATTTAAATACAATTTTGGCTACAACAGGTAATAAGTATAAATACAATACATATATCTAATCATTTTACAAAAATCCTCTTGTTATAAATTTAAATATTTTAGATAATCTCCTTTGAACGTTGGGTTATTTTCGAGATTAAATCAATGAACTAAGTTTACTCGTTTTACAATTATATTTCCTGTACAACTTACCATTTCATAATTATAAAAAGTACGAATAGGTATTTAGTAAGTATTTCTGATATAGTTTGGTATTCAGTATATTCCTGCATTTAACATCTGCCCATGTACCTAAATGTTAATCATATAATTGATTGAGAATAGATTCAGCATCAACTATTATAAATCTGTCACAATAGCATCATATTTTATATTATAATAATATAGGTAATGAATGTATACGAAATTAATAACCAACCGGTTCTCTCACGATGAAACTCACTTTGGGTCTCCTCTTACTTGGGTCCCTTAATCTAAATATTTTGGCTATAAATAATTTTAAATACACAAAACTTTCCTTGATGGCATCAAGCATACGAAGAAATAGAGATATATTTTCAAATATCGAGTTGAACCTATCGCAGATATAGTAGACTAAAATTTTCAGGATCTATTTTTCAAAGTGCAATACTGTTCCTTCCTATCTCTCATACACGACGATCGTGATAATCATTATTTTCTATTTCAATAAAATTGTATACTTAATAACATTATTGCCGTCTATACCATGTGATTCGTCAAATCTTGAATTTGGCTGTTTCAGGTACATGATGAGCTCGCTGCTAGAAGGCGGTTCGTGGATGCCCCGGTGGGTGACGGTGCTCGTATTCTGGGTCGGCTACTTCAACTCGGCTCTCAACCCGCTCATCTACGCGTATTTCAACCGGGAGTTCAGGGTGGCGTTCCAAAAAACGCTGCAGAGCTGCTGGCCCAAGTCACCGCCGTGGTGTCCGCCGTGTCTACGCCGTCGGTACGAACAGTCGCGCAACGAGACGGTAACGGCGACCGCGGCTTTCGGCCAACAAAACATGTACAACTATAGCAACGCTTCCGAAGTGCACTACATGAATCCGGCCACCATAGCTCTGCTCCAAAACAACGGTGGCAGTGGCGGCAATAGCGGAAGTGGTGGAAACGGATGTCRTACCGAACAAATCGTTCTATAAAATAATAATAACAAAACCTATAATATACCTAGCTAATTTTTCTCCCCGAAGATCTATACGCGACGATTTTCTCTGAAGCACTGGATGGATTACAAAAGGGTGTATACCGATATTGGGTTATAAAATAAGGGGGGGGTAATGCAAAGATGCAGACAAGTCGTCCGAAACGGTTGAAAGTTATTTTTCAATTAAACTATATAATATGGAGAGAGAAAATCATTCTTATCGATAAACGCAGGTTAGGTACAGGTAGTTTATGATAGGTATGTCATTTAAAAATTAATAAAACATTCCTGAGTCCTGATGATCACTATGAAACTTCAGRCTGTGACAGGACTTCAGGCTTTTACTGCTATGTGTGCACGCCACTGGAGACTATATAGTATTATATATTATTATTTGTTCGCGTATTAATATATAGTTAAGACTACACAATATATTATTAWATAATTACCGTTGACTATTGAGAATATTAAGAGAAAATAATATTACAAGGTTAGGTATAGAGCCAATGAAACATTCCGCGTGGTCACCGATGGCGTGAATAGCACAGTGCTACAGTCACAATGTATTATTTAGCGGCGGTRACTAAGTCTAAACACTTGTGTTTTTATTGATGGCATGGCAAAATACAGTAGTTCTATCTTGTATTGTTGTATTATCATTATTGTAAATATAATATATTAATATCCATCGACAATATTTCATTGTTGGTTCGTGCCCGTGCAGTGTGACAGTGACAGCACACATTATGTCATGACCTCTTCCTTAAAATATCATWAAACAATTCTCTGAATGTTGTCGAGTCTTAGAAGTCGCCAACCAAAACCGTTTCCGCATTCATAAAAAATGCAATAGCTTAGCGATATTATTATAATACGGAGTATACGCATTACACATATAATAATTACAAGTTACAACTATTAATCTCAAAAAACGTTTCACGCTACAACCCAATCACCCGTGTTCATATTTCGTTTATGTATTTTAGTCATAAGTATTCAAAACTAGTAATTGCAGTGTACAATTCAACAGAGCCCGATAACAACAAAATTTTATAACAAAATCACGATTTAAAAACAAAAATATTGCATAGAATATTAATTTCGATAGGATAGAAATTTAGATACARTCAAAACAAAAATTCGTATTTTGTTTCAACAAAAAAGTAATAAAAAAAAAAAACAATTTTTTATCGTATTAAGTTACTTCTTGGTGTCGTAAATAATTAATAAAGAAAAACTCTAAATTTCCTAATTTGACACTTRGTGGTGACCTATTTTTACAAATGCAAAAAGTTTAATATGAAATAATTAAATATTTAATCAGAGACACACTTGTTTCAACGTTCCTCTTTTATAACGCTAAGTGGTTAAACAGCATGATATTGCATAGTTAATCTATATACCTGCCTTCAGACATTTTCAGTTTATAAAAATAAAAATAATAAACTTATTTTTATTGACTCTGTTTTTAAGTTATACAGTTATAAAACTTCTTTTAATACATAAATCGCAATATATATGTATACTAAATATACTTATATTTATATCGATACAGATACACCTAGTTTCCGTCAGTGTTATTTTTTTAAACAATTATTTAAACCGTCAAACATAAATAAACGATTTTTTTTGCTTCCTTACTAATAAGTTATGTAATAAAATAAATTTATGTGATTTGTATTTAAAAATATTAAGCAAATTATAATAATAATTTATTAAAATTATCAATTATATAATATAATAGGTACATAGGTAAATGATATATTATACTTACACTAAAACGTGTAGAAAGTATAACAAAATAATATATAAATATTAATTATAGGAACCTATATGCGATTCGATTAATCAATTAATAAAAACAGACAGATTATCTATTAATTAGATAGTTATTCAAAACCTTTTTTTTAGTTTTCATTTTACAGATATTGTACAAATTAAATTGAACTCATATTTATTTAAAAAAATATATTTTGTAGTAATTAATATTTCAAATCTAAGCTTTGGATGGCTAATATAGATTGTAATAGTATATGTAAATGACGAATAATAAGTATTACCTTTTGTTTATCTGCTAATTATAAATGAATTCAGCATACATCGCACACAATTATTTTTAMCATTTTACATTAACCTGAGTAGAATCCAGTTGAAATTTTTGACAAAMCAAACAAATTTAATTTTAAGTAACTCATAAAATAATGAAATAAAAGATTTGATTATACGGTGGTATCTGTCCATAGTCCATCTCATATTATGTAAATATAATTAACAAAATTATAAAATTAATGTCTTTCGAATTTACAAAAATGTGAATCCTTAAGTTAAAATAAATAATCTACAAGTTTATATTATTATTATTATTATTATACTATTAATATATAAGTGCGTGTGTACATTAACTATGTATTATTTTCACTCTTCATTATAAAATATTTAAATTGAGCATTCTTATTTCGCATCATTTTACTATTTTTTGAAGTTCTAATACATGTTTATGTTATTGTGTATATTTATAAATTTTTGAATATTTAAATGATTATTGATTACAAATACAAAAATCTCGAATAATTATAACTATAATGTTAATGGAGAGTCAATTTTTATTTTGAAATGATTAAAGTAAAATATTTACTTTTTTCTCATCTAGAAAATTAACGACATCTTAAATTTAAAATATTAAATCTACCTAACTCAAAATATTGTTAAATCTACCATAAAAATTAATCTATGCTACGTGTGGAAATGTGTTTACGAATTTTGTTTTATGTACACGATAATCTGCTTTAATAAATTGAAAATATTATATAATATTATTTATTCTTGACATTAAATGTCTTGTGGAGTTTTAAAATACAGATATAGCTGTTGAAAACCGTAACTTCCGTAACTTTTAATCCTTCGTGAAGATCAATTAGGGGCTTAGCCTMCCCTCCTCTAAAAAATAATGTAAGCTCTTATAGTTGCATTCGTGATGAGAGTGGGTAAAAAGAGTACCTAGGCATCACAAGTTATAATACTTAACAATGGAGAAATGATGGTTGGTTATATCTATGACTCTGTATTGACTGTATGTTTTTAGGCCTGAAGGAGAACTRCAACTTACAAGGGATATATTTTAATATATTAAATAAATACTATCTCTAGATATAGATAGCCTACTGTTGGTTAGGAATGTCTTATAAAATAAAATAAACAAATAATAAAATAATGAGATGATTATGAAATTTTTCGTGATATATGTATATCTAAGATTTATCATATAGAACTCGTCTGACAGTTTTATATAAAATTATGTATTTACGTTAATATACCGTATGAACAATTTTGTACAGGACTATTTATAATCGGATTGTATTATTGTACGCTTGAAAATCATTGGTAATTAAATGTATTTAMTAATAATATCTTTAATCGGATACCTACCTGATTGGCCATCATACCTCCATGTATTGGTTTTAGTAGTGGGGTGCGCGCGTGCCTGTTTGTACTATTATTCGGAGACTGTAATTATGCCGGGTAAGGATGTTATTATATTAAGTAAGTATTTACTATTTAAGGAAAATCGTTTTGGTTTCACATGCGCGTGTCCTACATTACATAAACATTTGTCTATATTTGTTTCTGTGTAACCTAGATATAGGTTTAGGTAGATACTATGTTGCTTACATCATTGGTATAGGTATCGGTGGTCCTGTCAGCACCAGATCTAGGGGGAGGCGATCCGGGGCCCATGCCCCGGGCGCTTATCACAGAGGGGCGCAAATTTCAAATTTTAAACTCATCATTTTTATGATTTGGTGACTTTTAGGGGTGCTATTATTATGTTGTGCCCCGGGTTGCATAATTTGTAAGTCCGGTACTGGGTCCTGTTTGAAGAAATTCCGGATGATGGTGATCAAATGTTGTTTGTACAGGTTTTGTTTCGTTAACTTAAATTCTGTGAAACAGTTACACCAATAAGAAAGCGCAAGTGGGTTGATGTGTTTCTGTACCTATACCTACAGATTAGATGAAGTATTTAATGGATTTTCATCACAGGCACTATGTGGGATAGTCGTCTGCCAAATCTGCTTAAATAATCTGCACATCTGCTGTTGATATCAAAATACATAACATAATATGTCTACATTGAGTAGGTACATTGATCGAGTATGATGCGGGGTGTCGTGGGTACGAGATTTCATCTTGTTTCTAAGACAGCTTTAGAATATATATTATTTATATAACTATTTAGTATCGAGTAAAATCAAGCATATAAATATGTTATCAATAATTGCGTCACTATGAAACGAATACTGATTGTACAAACGGATAAAACAAACGCTGACTTTATAGACTAATGAAACACAAGATTCTGAAAAAAAAAATTCTATAGTTTTTTTTTCTATATATTCAAAATTTTTAAAWTGCAAAGTCCAAGACGGCAAGACAAAGTACAAAATCTTTCTAATACATGCAATATTATGATAATATACCTAATCAATAAAATAATATGGTAGAACAAAGTATTTACATTGTATCATTATAAACCTAATAGTAATTATGTATTTAGCAATACCTAATTAATTATATAATATGCAGCTTGTTCGATGTAATGTTACATTTTTTATCAAATTATTACCCACCATATTAAATATTGTATACAGCTAGTATGATTAGGATACTTCCATAACATTTATTTTGATTATAATATTAAATTATTCTATAACAACCCCCCTCCCCATGTTATCCAATAACTAATTGTATGATTGAAATGAGTTTATAAGTTTTTAAGTATAAATATTGTATATATCATGTGACCGTCCTCTAGCAATATATTACATTATTATATACATAAATATTAAATATATTAATAATGCTATAAAATACGCCTATAATATTAATGTAATTTGTATAATATATACAATATTATGCATATTTGAACCTACCTACCTAAATGCTTATGTAAAGCTTTCAATAGATTTAGTTTATTTTTATTCATGTATGTTAGTAGGTACCTAAAAAATTACCAAATAATCAATAAATATTARTTAATATTATTATTAGTAATATTGCTATAATATTATAATTATACAACTAATTGGACCAAGGCAATATGTTACAAAATAAGTAGTGTGATGAAAATTATTAAATTATTAATTTTCATGAAAAAATTAACGAAAAAAATATAAAAATATGTACAAATTATTGTATAAATAATATTTAAAAATCTAAGGGTAATATTTACATGTAAATTTAAAATTAATTTTATAATCTATTAACACATTTAATATTTCGTCAACTCACCACATATAATCTATCATATGACTTCCCATCTTGTTTATACATAATTTTAATATTATAACAGTAAAATAAAATGTGTTTGATCGCGCGTGCATTGGTTGTAGGTATGTAATATACATTACGATTTATCGTTTACGACTATAAATATATCTGACAATGATCTGTTTTATACATATATTATGATTATAAATTTACATTTTGACATCGACATTAATTAGTAAGATACCTTTTAAGTTATAAATGTATAACCATTAACATTATTTATGTATTTGTTATTTGTGTCACATTAATGGTTGTTATTAAATTCAATAAATATTTAAAAATATATAAAATGCATAATGTGATACCTACCCACTGTTGTTTAACAACTTAAATTTTAAAGTTTAGTAACTATATACGCAAAACATTATAATATCATGATGTTTGATCAATTATTTGGCGTAAAATAAAATTAAACTGGCATAAAAGTACATTGCTGTGTTGTTGAAGCCTTAATAAACTTTGAAAAAAAAAAAAGTACCTACATTAACATCTTGTAAATGGCATTGAAWATACAATAGCTAATAAATATGTGCATGCGTAAGGGGTGATCATAAAATAAATAGTGTATTTCAAAAATGTGAACATTACATTCCCATATATTATAATTCTTGTGAAATCCCTAATACCTACTTGTGTAATATKAAATGTTGACCAACCACAAACCTGTGTATACTACCTATATATAGGTACATCATAAGAATGCATTACAAATGGTCCAATTGCAGCAAAAATAAGTAACAAAAGTAATGATAAAACACACAGTTCAAAAACCTTAAAAATCCTAAAGAAGGAATACGTTAATTTACAAAAAGTAWTATCAAATTACGTTTTATATATCTATAAACCAATACCTAAATAAAATATATATTTAGGTATATTTAAAATCATAAAATACGTAGATTTATTAACATAAAGGTCACGACACTAAAAGGTTGAGAACAATATAACAACACTGAACAATATAAGAATAGTATTTATTTGTGTGCATATAAAGTGTATAGTTTGTATTCGCATTCTCAAAAATATGTTACTAAAATGATACTTTTTGTGTATGTAACATTCAGTGCAAAAAACTGAAAAAATTTCACTTTTATTATTGTTGAATAAGTTTGAATGTTATTAATGAAAAATTCAAAAGTTAAATTACTAACTTTGATAAATTGTAAATTTGTTTCTTTTATTTAATTAGAGGGAGATTTTAACTCAGATCAAAAATAAATACCTAATATAATAACATCAAAGTGAGAACACAGATTAAAGAAAATATTTTTACATTTAAGTTTGATAAGTTATTTCACTCTAATATTTAAACTACCACAAAATTGGAACTGCTATCGTAAATGTACGTTAGTAAGACGAAGATAACACAGCGGGTGCGACGTCTTTTTGAGTACAAATTGTGCAGATTAGAATAATTTTTTCACAATCAAATGCTATAAAAACTGGGAGTGTAGATTAAAAGTGCGGAATCGAATTAATCGAAACCACAAAAATAAAAACTAAATATAAAATATAATAATTGCGTACCTATTTGCATACACAAAAAAAACAAAAATCATAATAGCGGAAATAACATGAAATGTTTTTACATTTAAATTTTTTTAAATTATTATGTGTTTTCGACCTTATAGTTGGGATATCATTTTGAAAAATATTACACTTCACACATGGTTGCACCRATGGATTATGGAGACATTACAAGTTACAATCAACAACAACAACTATGGTATTCAATACAAATATAAAAACGACAATACGAAAATAAGAACTGATTAATTAAATTTTGAGTAAGTAGCCAGTAGGTACTACTCCTATATATATATATAACTTACAATACTTACATAACTTCAAGTATAATTGAAATTAATCATCATCCTTGGAAGTATAGGCTGTCTTTATTGCAATTGCAATAGTCAGTAGCGTAGCCAGGAAAGGGGTAGGGATTCAAACGATTAAACAATTTTAGTGATGTGCAAAAAGATAAACCCGGGCCCCARGGGGGCCTTCAATAATTCCTGGCTACGCAACTGGCAGTAGTTTTATAATTAAGAATATAGGTATCTGCTATACCTATAATTCAGATTAATTATGTAAATATGTAATATATACATTTTATTGGCACTATAATGTTACATCCAATGGTCAGTGATGTAAATATCTAATATTCCAAAGGCCAGTTAACTGAATAAAAAAAAATCATTTATGGTATTTGTGGTTTCGTCCCACAGATCATAGAGTTTCGGCCACAGATATAAATTAAAAAGTACAGCGATATCGGTTGCGACCACGTACTTTAGATAGAAAGATATATTGGGGGCTAAGCAATTTGGGGGCTAAGCAATGTGGGGGCTAAGCAATTTGGGGGCTAAGCAATCTGGGGGCTAAGCAATGTGAAAACAGTTCGGCCTCCATGTAGCGATTTAACAAGGAAAAAAAAAAGATAGAAAGATATATATATCTAAAGCCGAGGTTGCAACGAATTGATAACATTGATAACAGTTATCATTATTTAATATTTATTTGAATAAAAAATATTTTTCTATTTGTTAATTCAGTTAATTGTTTTGTTTTACAAGTGACATAAGTATTGCATGAATTAAATTTTTTCAGAGTTATAAGAATAAGAGTATAAAATTATGAAAAAAAGAGTTGTAATAACTGGCATGGGTGCCATTTGTCCTGCTGGTGTCAATAAATATACATCTTGGAAAAATATTTTGTCGGGAAAATCGTTTGTAAGAAAATTGGACAATGATCTTTATAAAAACATTCCTTCCAAAATCGCAGCAACTCTGGATGGACTGAAGATTTTACCAGAATCAGTGCCCAAGAGCAAAGTACGTACAATGGCCCCTTCGACTCGTCTAGCTCTGATTGCTGCACAAGAAGCAGTTAATGATTCAAAACTTTTTTTGTCTACAGTCGACAAACAAGATGTTGGGGTCAGTGTAGGAGTAGGAATGGTGGACTTAGAAGATGTGTGTCAAACAGCCAAGGCTTTAGAAATTAGTTATAGTAAAGTCAGCCCATACTTTGTGCCACGCATTCTACTCAATATGGCTGCTGGCCAAATAAGCATGACTTATGGTATACAAGGACCTAATCATGCTGTGTCTACTGCTTGTGCGACCGGAGCACATGCAATTGGTGATGGKTTTCGTTTTATTCAGTATGGTCAAGCGAAAGCAATGATTTGTGGTGCTGCAGAGTCGTGTATTAGCCCTTTGTCAATAGCTTCTTTTTGTAGAATTCGAGCACTMTCTACTCAAAACGATAAACCCGAATTGGCATCAAGACCGTTTGATGTAAATAGAGATGGTTTTGTTATTGGCGAAGGGTCTGCTATGCTTATACTAGAAGAATTAGAACATGCTCTTAATAGAAATGCTCATATTTATGGAGAARTTTTGGGTTATGGTCTATCTGGTGATGCTTCACACTTAACAGCACCACCAGAAAATGGCCAAGGAGCCTTATTAGCCATGACTAGAGCAATTTTAGATGCTAATTTAGACAAGACACAAATTTCATATGTTAATGCACATGCCACCTCAACTCCGGTAGGAGATGCTATCGAACTAACAGCAATTAAAAGACTTTTTGATGATCATTGCATTAATGTACATGTTTCATCCACAAAAGGTAGTCATGGTCATTTACTAGGGTCTGCAGGTAATTTAGAAAGTATTTTTACAATTCTTGCTTGTTATGAAGGTGTCATTCCACCAACAGCAAATCTAAACGAGGTTTGCAAAGAAGCTGAAAATTTGATTTGTGTTTCTAAAAGTCCAATGCTATGGAAAAAAAGAAATAGAATAGCATTAAAAAATGCATTTGGTTTTGGAGGTACAAATGCATGTCTCTGTTTTTCTAATTTTATTTCATAATTTTAAAACTAGTATAACTTTTAAAACTAATTACATGAATCACAAAATGCTAAAGCTGTAAGAGATTTTTGATGCCCTTCATATTCACGTTCTATATTGCCACTTTCTATGTTCCATAATCTTGCCATACCATCTGATGAAGCTAAAAATGAGAAATTAAAATCATAAAATCATGTATAATATTACGTATCCACTACAAAATATGTTAGAAATGTAGTACTGCCAGATAATGTAARATGTTGATGTATTTAAACATATTAGTAAAATACAAAAATTTGTTTTATTATTTTATTAAATTAAATATCCATTTTGTTTACTTAACTAATTATATGAATTAAAACAGTAACCTAAATTATACATTTTCAGACTTTCAGTGTCCAATGTGCATTCTTAAAAATTGAATAAAGTAACTTGTTGAAAATAACTTTGTTGATGAGTCATTTTTTGGGTTACCCGAAATACTGGTCCATGGTAATAGTTTCTTTAAAGTGAGCACCTGTTATATTTTTCAAAATAGCTGCTACTAAGTGATGACATGAGTTTACACAAAAATTACAATTTTAGATTTAGAGATATAATGGCTTTACAGAGTAATAACTTTTTGTCAAGAATCTTAAATTTTGTTCATTTATAATGTAATCAAACACATAAATTAGTTAAAATCAATTTTGTCCACAGACCAATGATACCAAATAACAAAATTAATTAGATTATTATTACATTATTAACCAAGCACTGTAAGCTTGATTCATACAATTATTTAATACATTCAATATTCATGCTATAAATATATTAACTTACAACTTTAGAGACTGTGCATAGAAATTTAATTGGCTTTCAATTACAATAATATTAGGTTATTTTAAAATGTTTGCATTACTATAGAACATTTATGTTGAGAATACTCAGTGGCAACCAATCCTAGCCTAATTCAGCYCGACTGCTGTTGATACGCGTGGTAATAACTATGGCTCAGATTATTTTTTAAAAATGAGTAAAAAATTTAATTTATATTGCACTGCACCAGTGAACTGCATTGTAACAGATAAAAGTTGTATGCAATTAAATCAACTAGTTTCTCCAATCAACCATTTCTATATATCCATTGTCAACTCTTTCCATCATATATTTGGTACTACTGCTTCTATATGCATTTTTATTTCGTCTTCCTATTTTGCATGGTTTACCAAACAGGGTTTTTCCAACTGGCTGTTCTTCAATGACCCTTTGCATTTAAAAATTTGTTTTTCATCAAGCGTATCCAGCTCACATTAATAGCCTCTTTCTAATTTATATAATTATATAAAATTTTTGAAACTTGTTCCTTAATTATTACTCATTTATTATAAACATTCCTTATATATGTAAAATATGTATAAATAATACCTGTTAATAAATGTTCTGAATCATTAGTAAATGCTGTATCCCACACCCATCTCATCCGGTCATCTTTTAATTCTTGTTTCAAAGAAAAATCACTAGTTTTCCAGATAAAAGCTGTTCGATCACCTGCAGTTGTGACTAACAATCTATTATAATTTAAAAAATTAATTATAGATTAATATAATTAYAAGGCAACAATATTTATATTCTTACGTTGAATCAGGACTGAATTTACAATGAATAGCGTACTTCTTGTGAGCATTCATTTTGTGCTCTGGACTTAGTCTAGTACCATTGCCATTATAACTCCATAGGTAACAGTTTCCTTTATTATTTACAGATGCAACATAAGTTGCACTGGAATCAATGGCCACACATTGTATAGAAGCATCAACTTCGGGTATCTAAACTTATAAAATATTAAAACAGGAAGAATGTTGAAGAACTGAATTAATATTTTACACTAACAAGTTGTTCATTATGATCAGTTTTCAAATCCCATAAATGAAGCAAACCAGACTGATCACCTAATATTAACTCTCCTTGATTAGGATGAAGACATATACTAGTGATAGGTGCAGTTGTTTGAAATATACGCTGACATTGCAAGTTTCTAGACCTGCAAAAAATTTAATTATGAGAAAACAATTACTTTTATGTAATTCAAATTTATATTTTACCTTAAATCCCACACTCTGGCACTACAGTCTTCACCACAAGTAAACATCCATTTACCATCTTCGTGGAATCCAACACCAGTAATGTTTTTTGATATCCCTTCATAGTTTAAAACTGGATTTGGATTGCTTGAATTCAAATCATACATACGAATATGTTGAAACCCTGTAAAACAAAATACCACAATTACATAGATAAYTAATAAGTACGAGATTAAACTATTTAAAAAATTACCTGCAGCAGCTAAAAGTTGTCTGTCAGGTGTGATTTCCAATGCATTTACTTGCTAAATTATTTGGTCAAGGATTCTACTCATAAATTATKTTCAAAAAGTAAAAAACAAAATAACAATTTTAATATCTAATAGGTTAGATGAATTAATGTCTAATACAAATGTTCAAGTCATAGTACATAATACATATAATATATTAGCTACACTTATCAATTAATTGCATGAGGAATTAAACTAAAAATATAAAACACTTTAAATACACAGTATTTGTGTACAGGAAAAGTATGAACAGAAATAATGTATATCTATTTATTACTTTTTGCGAATTTAATTCGTTCAACTTTTATTAGATAAAATATTGAAGTAGATTTAAAGCAAGATTAAATATTTAAGATAACGTTTTAAGGATACAGAATCTAAATGTGTTAAACTTCTATTGCAAACTCCAGTATTTGCATGCCATAACTTAATAGTGTGATCATATCCTCCAGTAGCCAGCAGCACTTTTTCAGTTAATGTGTTGTCTACCATTATCCAACTTTAAATTAATAAATTGTAGAAGAACATCTGAATTAATAGTTTAAACCTTTTTTATTGTCTACGAGACTAATACATTCAAAACCAATAAAACAATTTATTGTTTAAATACATTTTTAATATTAGGAAAATATGTATATAAATAATGGATATTTAATAATTATTAAATTTAACAATGTTTTTTGGAAATGCAATAAAATATTCGAATTATGAAATATGAATTAATATTTAATACTTAWAAATGTTAATATTTTATTTGATCTTAAGTAAAGGTAATTATATAAAAAAAAATAGATAATAACACTAATAACCAATAGGTATTTTTTTAATCRTCATGTTTAAACAATGGTACAAAAACAAAATATGTTTTTAATTTTTTATCCCGGCTATAGATAAGATAGTATCTTTAATCCATATTATTACTATTAATTTTACAGTTAGTCAATTTACAYAATTAAACTTACACGTGACAGTATGTGGCAACACTGATGAGTTCCCGTATCTCTCTCTCACTCGATCGATGACTGATGATGGATTGATGGCAGCCTGCATTGCAGCAGCTGCTGGTCGCAGAGTCAGGGTGAAAACTGATAAGTGATAAGTCGAAGACGACACTCGACAGTCGACTACAACCTTAGACAAGTATACCATCTAAAWATTCTAAATAGTATATTTATATACAACTTACAAGTCTCCAAAACGCTCAGATATTTACTTAACCGTGGTCTACTGGTCTGTGACAACTGACAATATTCATGACCAAATAAAAAATCTATTTTCATATTTCATTATTATATTATTATGATTAATTTATGCTTTTCTTTACCATAATTTACTTAAATTACAATAAATCTAATGAAGAATTAACTAAACAAAAATGGCTARCAAAGGTAAATGATAAACATAAGAAATTAAACACTATTACATATTAGAAGGTAATAATGATTAATAATACATTTTGAGACTATTTAGTGAAAGCTTGCTAGCACAAGCAATATTGTAAAATGAATGAAAATAATTTTAGTAAAAATTACATTCTGACATATTATTTTTACTTTTTAACTTTGAATTGAAATTTATACTTGTAGAATATATTGAAATACCTAATATATATTTTAGTGTCATTAAATATAGTAACTATATTTGTATATTATGTCTCAAAAGAGAACAATCAATTTTTGTGCATTGTGATTATGAGATTGTCTAGTTGAGAACCATTTGTTCACTGGAAAGTTGGTGAAAGATGCGCATTATTGGCGTAAATTAGTCGCTCAACTGATAATTCTCTTTTAATTAATAGTTTAATTAATAGTCATTGAAATTGAATTCTATTTCTTCAATACTATTCAGAGATCATCAACATCATATGTTAAAATTACTGTTACCTATTTTGTTTAATAAACTTATATTTCTTTACAGGAGGTCCTGAAACCGAAGAACAAACCAGATTAAGGTTTCAAGTAGAACTTGAATTTGTGCAATGCTTAGCTAATCCAAATTATTTAAACTGTAAGCTTTAAATTTTAACAATGATATTTAAAAACAATTTAAAAAATGTATATCTTATTTTTCAAATATTCAGTTTTAGCTCAACGTGGATACTTTAAGGATCAGTCTTTTATTAATTATTTAAAATATTTACTGTATTGGAAAGAACCAGATTATGCAAAGTTTATTAAGTAAGTATTGATAATAATTAAGCACTATACTTTTAGTAGATGACTGATTAACTGAACATCTCTTTGAATAACTATAGTAGATGTATGTATTTTATGGGCCTAAAATAATATAAATATGTAACACTATTAAATTCAACTGTATGCATAATTAAATATTGAAGTAATTAATTAACATATTTTACTTTTTAACTTTCTTTGATGAATCACCTACCATTTTTTCATACTTTTTTATACATTCCGTACTGGTAATGATTATTGCTATAAAATTCCTGCAATGTTGCTTAATTAAAAATGGAGACTGGCATTTAARAATTAATTTAATAACGAGTCTAGAATACTAATTTACTACTTTATTTACACAAATTTAAGTCTTAATATAATTAATCATGCATACACCAATTATGCAATACCAATAGTATATAATTTATTCAATTCTAAAAGTAAATTTAAAAATTAGTTTAATATTTTGGTACAATGTATTAACTAATTTATAGTAAGAGTCAGGGGCGGAGTGGGCAACCGGGACATTTCTCGGTGGCCTGGATTGCTTATACAAAATATGGCCCAACGACCATCCTATATTTCTATAATTCCATAATTTTGTGGTGCATTTAATTTTTGTTTATAAATTTATAATGTTTGATTAAGTTTAAATTAGTATAATAATAATAAAGAGATATCTGATAAATTAAACTTATATGGTATTATGGTTATTAATAACTTATTATCATTCCATATTGTCGTAATCACATTTAGTTGCAATTTACTGATAATCGTTACATTGAAGCCAATTGAGACCATTAAAGATATACCTTTAATTGTGATTGATGCATAGAGTAATATTATTCTATGAGTGGAAACCTATGATACATACATTATGATTAAATTAAACTAAATAATTCTATGTTTAACATRTATGTAATAAAATATTTCTTAATGATAAGTTTTATTTTATATCAAATAAGAGGACTTGTTTAATATTGTAAAGTACAGTCAAACTTGCTTAACTCGAAAAGGGACCAGAAAAAGAGTTYGAGTAATTCGAAAAACCAAACATACAAAATTAGATCTAGGGATCGGAGAAAAAGTTCAAGATATGAAAGATTTCGAGTTAACCACATTCGACTATATCTGTTATTTGTTTGAAACGTTAAACTTTAATCCTTACACCATTTAATTTGCAGATTATTTACTGCTAAAATCAAATAAAAATAATAACTTCCAGGTAAAATTTTCAAAAAGATAGGTCACAAAAATATTAATCACTAAAAAAATATTAAAATATTAAAGTCTACACTGACTACAGCGTAAAATGTAAAAAARAAATTAATTATTCTGATGTTCAGAGCTCATGTTAAAAAGTGGCCTGAAAATATTGATTTGCCCGGTAAGAATTTTGAAGCCACTCTTCTCCTGTTAAGAGTACTTGCTTTTAGAATAGAACTTTTAAATTTGTGTGACATCCTATTTCAAAAACTTAAGAGTATTTTATCATATTCTAGTAGATTATTGTAAAATGTAATAAACAGTGATAATATTTTAAAAATAATTATAATCAATTAATAGTGAAATCATTTTAAAGTATAACCATCAATTAGTGTACAAATTGATTRGATTAAGAAAAATAATTAAATATATTAATTTTGATACTAAGTATAAAATGTAGTACAATAACATAAAAATATATATTACTATATATACTTATAAAGATTTTTTAATTTGTTTCAGGTATCCCATGTGTTTGTATTTTTTAGATCTTTTACAGCATGAACCATTTAGAAAAGAAATAGCTACTGCTATTTGTTCAAAATTTATTGATGATCAATTATTATTGATTTGGCAACATTACACTAGACGGAGAACAAAATTGATTCATACTGCATATGAGCACAATATGAATGTGATGAATAAATCTAGTGCATCAAACATTGGACAAGCACAAACTAATGGCACAAATGGAATCATGCCAGCTTCTATGCCCATTCCTAAAGTGATGCCTCCTTAATTTATTATCATTTATCATTTAAGATTATTTCATAACTTATCGTTGTATGTATCTTTCCACGTWTAAAAAGTACATTATGTTTTTATGTTGAAATATAATTTTTACTTACATATTGTTCATCTGAAAATAACTAATTATTATATTAACTATATTTTCATATTACCTTAATTGATTTTTAAATAAACGAAGACTTTGAAACATACAGTTTTGCACTTGGTTGTATTTTACAAACTTAAAATATATTATGTTTGAATATCCGAAATAAAAATAAAATCATGATTTAATATACTAAATTTAAGTCTAATTAAATTATATTAAAGGTGTTCAAAAAGTAATTTAAGTGATTTGTTATTTTGTATTTGTAAATATTGTCTATTGTACATACATTATAATCAGGGATCGGATTTTAAAGCATTTGATAATTTATTATTATAGGATAGAGATAAAAATAGCAGAGTGAGCTATAAATTTGGTTTATGCACCAGGAACTCCAAATATGAAATTTTATAATGCTATTTTTGCATATTTGAAGTATTTTAGGTTTGTAGTGCAATTTTTCAAGTTTTGGTGTTATTTTTTGCTAATTTACATAATATAACATTTTATTTTGTATTTTTATAAATCTAGTTTATATTATGTATTATAAAAATTATAAAAATGTATTTTTTTTTTTTTTTTTGAATACTTAAAAAAACACCCATATTATAAATAAACCTATGAATTCATAAATAATCTTTAGTTAATAAAATAATAAATATTATGTTTTTTTTTAATTTTGAGCAGAATACATTTTTATTTTTCATATTTTTAGGGCATATTATAGCACTTATTAAAAAAAAAATTTAGATCATATTATAGCWCATATTTMATTTATTTTTAGTTTTATAAAATCCAAGCCCTGATTATAATAGTCACTTAAATGTTACTTTTTAAATAATATACTCAAAARCAATTTTTTCAAAATTAAGTTCATGGTAAATTTGAATTTTCAAGTTWTTAAAGTTATCACGACTTGACTGTAAAGGCCATTAAGTGGTTATTTTTAGTAATTTTTTTTAACTGTGAGGGGGGTGGAGGTATAGTTGGATTGAAACACGTCTATTAACAATTAACATGGATGGGAAAGTTTTTGCCACTAAGAACCCGCGGGTGATCACCCATCAGGTAACTTTTGACGACTGTAGGTGGGCGGTGCGCCGGTGCATATCACGTTACGTAAAAGTTGCAGCAACCGCGTCACACCAAGTCACTATAATATTAAGTAATGACAGAATGCCGATCAAACGAAGAAGAAAGAGAAAAACTATATATACCAACCAACTTATACGAATCAATGGGACCCGACTGTCAACCCGAAAAAATCATGTCATTCCTCAGGACAACCAAAATAGATAAATACATTTAATTAGAATAAATATAGTCAACAGCCCTTCCCCTTATTATTGTAACTAAATTGTCACCTAAACCGTGTAATTTTTAAGCAATAGTATAATGTAAATCTAAAAAAAAAAAAAAATATTAAGTAGGTATCCACTATCCAGATGATCCAAGTGGCCAACAAACCACCTCCGCTTAAAATCGTTTTTTGTGTATATAATAATAAATCATTGAACTCAAATTTAACACCATCTAAGTGGCCAGTGACCCACTTGTAACATGCTACACAACCATTATCTAAAACTCATTATATTATGTCTGATAACATTATTATTAGAATTAGTATCGTTTTTTTATTATAACCATAAGAATAATATGTATATACCCTGCAATGGCGTTTATTTTTGGTTATTTTAGACAAATATTTTATTTAACTATTATTGAAGGTTTATCGTTTTTGAAAAATTTGTTTCAAGATAACGCAGACATATTTAGATCATTGTCATATTATATGTATATTAATAGGTACCATAAGTTCAAAAACAAACATTGATAAAGTAGAAACAAAAATACAAGATTTTTATGGAAAAAAACCACTAGGAGTTACCTAGGTATTACTTATTATCATTGAGTTACTTATTATTTTTTACTTTCTTTATCTACCTAGTACCTACTCAATATGGTACTACTACAGATGACAGATTTTATAATACCTACCTATGTAATAAAGTTTTTATGCGTTTTTGTCCTTTAACTGTTTCCAAATACATACAAATTTGAAGTCACTTGAAGCTCTATGAAGTGTATTGTGTAATATTGAATTATTTAATACACAAATCGCCGAGTTAAGAGAATATCAACGCACTATTTGTTTTCTCTCTCTGGTCTACGCTCAACTTAGACAAAACGCGTTTACAAAGAATCATTTTTTCTATGATTTTAAGTAATTTTAGGGTCAAATCACCCATTACGAAAAAGATGGAGAATAATATTTTTGAGGGAATGGCATATCGAATTATCTACAACATTTTTTTGTTTATTTTGAAAGTTGAATACAAAATCAAATAACAATAAAATATAATATCTTTATGTCATTCCATCAAAAATATTATTTTTTATCTTTTTCGTAATTGTTGATTTTACTTTAAGATTACTTAAAAACATCAAAAAAAATGATTCTGCGTAAATGCATTTTGTGTTTGTCAATGTTGTGCGTGGGCCAGAAAGAGAAAAAAAAAGTAGTGCGCTGACATTCTCTTAGCTGTTTCTTTTTATTTATCATAAATTGAATAAACTCAATAATATGGGTATATATAATAATAATAAAATTATGGTWTAACCTTTATATTTATATTTAGAATCTTGATTTTTCCTCTTTTCTTCTCGTAAATAACTATAATGACATTATATAGGTACCCTACTACCTACCTATTATACTCGTCTTATTATGTTTTCAATTGATAGATTTTGATTTATTTCGTCAATATTTACTTATAACTATTTTTACTTGTTCACATTGAAACTGTCCTAATAAATTGTAAATTTAAATATTTTCCGTAATTAAGACGATTATTATTATTATTATTATTATTGTTGTTGTTGTTTAAGATTTTAGATATCTAATACAAATTTAATTCATAATAATATTTTATAAGTTAAATAGGTACCAAATTAAAAGTAATAAATTACACGTTTTGGTATATTCGAATGCGATGCAGTTACGCTATTATAAATAAATACGATTTTGTATATTTTGTATAATACATGTTTACTGGGTGAAACTAAAAAGACCGACTAGTGACAAATATTAACTACCTTCACTCATAAATATAATATTATCTATGACTATACCTAACTATATATTAACTTTTATACTCAATTTTTTTGTTCTGTTTTAATTTATGGTTGTTATATAATGATATAAATATATACATAAACTAGGTACACAAAATATAATATTCATAACAACAATACAGTTATTGTGTGATTAAATTTAATTATATTTGTCACCCATTCTGTTAAACGTCCTGTACCTATTTAATTACATTATACTAATTGCAACAAATTTTTAATAAGAATAGCAAAAGGCGTTTTTAATTAATTTAAAAAATATATAAATTTATATTCCCTGAATGAAATCATAATAATTGTATGATAGAACGCGCTCAAAGTCTAGATAATTTATATAATATTATGCGCTACGTTTCTAATACTTAGAGACTAGTTTTGGTTATGGCTAACTCGGTATATTAAAGGTACCTATACATATAGTGTACAGCGCACAATTATTATATAATATTGAATACATTAATATAATATCAGTKTAATAGAAATTATGGAATGAAGGTAAATTTCTCGACCTCGAGTTATCGTTAAAAATGTTTTAAAGGACGTATTTTATTAGTCGGATCCCAAACATATAATATGAATATGAATTGCAATAAATTAGAGTGTTACACTAAATACATGATATTACAATATTATCTTATTGATTGCATCCCAGGGTTATTGAAACAACTATCCGATTTCTTTTCCAGTTGTGTTTACAGTTGACTAAAATATAGAGATGCCATATTTTATGATAGGTACTTACCTAAAAAAATATATAATGATTCGTGTCAATGTATATTATATCATATATTATGAACCAGGGGTGGCCAACTAGAAGAGACTCGCGAGCCACCAAATATATTAATAAATATGGAAGAGCCAAAATGTAAAAAAAAAATTTTGGAACAACATATTCTTGCGAGTCTTTATACTCAACCATGAAAATGATTAAATCTAAACATCGGTCAACATTAACGAATGATCATTTAACTGAATTGTTAAGGACTGCGTAAACAAATTATAGTCCTGATTTTAAAAAGCTTACAAGCAAAATAAACACGCAACAAATAAGAAAATAGTAAATAAAGAAAAATGATATCATAGAACACTTTATTGTTACAAATTATTTTCTATACACTGTAATTTAATAAAATATTATACTTTTACAAATACATAAATTCATGTTTTCAAATTGTATGTAAAAATGTTACGATAAGATGTTAGCCGCAAAAGTCTATGACGCGAGCCGTGATTTGGCCATCCCTGTTATAGACCATAGATACGCCATACAATCATAAATACTCATCATCGTTCTAAAACTAATTGAAAAAAACCACCTATTCAACTATTTTCTCTTTGTTCAAAACTCATACACTCTTCATATAAACATATTTACCTTGACTAACTCGTTGGTATGGCGGTACAGAGCTAATGGGGTAGTGCTACCTTCCGGTGTTGTACGATTGAGAACGTTTTACCTTTTTAGCAACACGATTRAGAACGATGTCGGCAGATCAAAGAAACAATATTTTGTACCTTAAAATCAAACGATTGAGAACGATTTTTCTAGCGACGTTGCCATTTATTGGATTTTGATGCAAATGCATCTTTTTTTGGTGTTATGAAACGTTGTTTTGTAAGTATAAAATGTACGACAATTCTTGCGATTAACAAGAGYCATTTTAGAGCCATTAACAATTTTATCATGGCTAGGCTTTTCCGCTCAAACTATTGCCGTTATATATACCTATAAACCATACATATATACATAGGTACAAGTTATCGTCGATAATTTTACAGCACACATCCTCCTACACATGCAGTAATTTCTGTTTTAAAGGAGACCCAAACACAAACCGTGGCAATAATCAACTCCATYGAAAATAATATTACAAAAACCATGGCCAGCAAAGATTATAATCGTATTGTTTCAACAATTAATTTATATAAAGAGTTTGAACAAAATAAGGACATTATAAGGTATTTACAATTAACCGGAAATAAGTACTTAGGAAAAAAATATTGATTTTTA